GATATACTGGAAGGCCTGGTCCATTAAGCCACCATTGCAACCTTCGTTTCCCTCAGGACGAGAGCAGTCTACCAGGTTCTGTTCACTGAGTGATACCAGCTTGCCAGTCTTTCTGAACATCTGGCCTTCCATGGCACCAGTGGCACTGAAGGCCCAGCAAGAACCACACTGACCCTGAAGCAGGAGAAGAACTATTAAAAACTACACATTCATGCTTCAGTCTTGTTCATCCATCTCCAAAAGTATACATCCACTGTCAATACAAGGCCATTTAGAGCATTTTTAAAAACCCAATACAGATTAGCCCCCACAATTCTAACCTGGTCCTTCACAGGAGTGACATAGCCCTGTGTTCTCCAGTCAACTTGCTTTGGCGCCTCAAAGTTGTTGGGCTCCAAGAAGTGTGACCCCAGGAGCTTCTTCTCAGATCGTCGTCTGTAGCCATTCATGAGCTGCCTGTACTCTTCATTAGTCTAAAAATGAGAAAATTCATGCGGTAGCTGAACTGGCACACAATTTTTCCTCCCCCCATTAAAATAAAACTGACATGGGGTAATTGGACCACATACCATGTCACCAAAGTGATTCATTCCCAGGCGATAAGAATGCTTTCCCAAGGAGTGTTCAAGGTTGTGCAACTCAATCTTCTTCAAGTTCTTCTCCCAAATCATTCTCCTCCAGCCCTCTTCAGTCTACAAGAGGCATTTAATGGTACATGCACAAGTCAAAGAACAAAGTTAAACCACTTTTGGACTACCGGAACAAAGGGCCACTTCCGTCAGACACCTACGTGATGGTAATCTTTACTGTGCCAAGACTTCCACAGATTCCAGTGCTTGTCCAGCTGGGGGTCCAAGCTTGGGGCAGCAAAAACCGCCACGCACAGTGTAGACAAAATCAAACTGAGCCTCATCTTGACACTGCTGGGGAGGGAGGGGAATAAAATAAAATGTCAGGTTTCATGCAAACTATGATTAACTCAAGCCATTCACGTCAATGCAGGACACGGCTCAGAAGCGTCTGCCAGATATAAATGGACGTCATTTCATAGCCGAGACAAACATCGGATTCCTACCTCTCTTGCATACAGAACCGGGCCTAGACCAGTTTACATTTATCGAGGTTATCGGTATACAGCCATGATTCCAAAATTTAAGGCGATGGCGGCGATAACCAATATGACCGAGGAAATAAGGCAGACGCAAACTGAGATTAAGACAAACACGACCGCAGTTGTTTTGTTCGCCCTGATCACGCGACACGGGCGGTTTCGACGCGGCGAAATCGCTCCAGCAGGAAAACAGCAGATGGATCAAAGCCAGAGGAAATCGAAAACAAAAGCCCTATAAGCCATGAATGCTTCCTTTTTCAAATCGTATCGCTAGTATAATCACATTATACGGACAGCACCAATAAATGAGAGGGGGGGGGAATAAAAANAGAGACACGTTCACAGACAAGAACACACAGCCGCAGTATAAAATAAAGTCAAAAATCAACACTATATATCCACTGTGCTTATGCCATGTTGAGTGGTCAGATACTGGCTTGCATTTAAAACCGTAATAAGAGACGAAATTAATTATGGAACTGGAAACGCTTCGTACAGGTCACTGATGAGCTAATACACTGACCTACTGCTATAGACAAACACTTCGTTAAACACTTAAGTAGGAATCCAACATACAGCAGAGACAGAAAGCCAAGAATAACTTACTTCCAACGTATAACTGCTCCGGCAAAACAATAAACAGCTAAGCAGCAAACCTTAATTTATAGCTCCGGACTGTGGAAGCATCCGGCGCTTCCATTGGCTGGAAGCGTCTACGCGCACACATTGATCCCGCCTCCCTGAAACTCATCCCAACGTGATGCCCTTTCACGTGACTCTCTATCCCACGCGAAACTCCATGGAAAGGAATTTCCTATAAGGAAAGCAGCTGGCGAATCTATAGCGACCCTCAGTTAATAACAATGTTCAGGAAGTTGCATCAGTTCAAAATCGATGGTCTCCTAATAATGTGCATAGTTGCAATGTTGCCATCTCTGCTCATTCCATGCTTTTATCTTTTTTAGGGGGTGGGTATTATCTGGAAATGAATGACTAAGCAAAACAGCTATAACTTTAAAGTTGCCTTCATATTTTGATATTAATGAACCAATAGGCTAAACTTTTATAATAAAAAATTACGTTTTTCTTAAATTTGATAAAAACGAAAAATAACTTTTGTGTATACGTAACAATTTCGTGCTGATGTTGACTAAAAGTTAGCAATACTTCATTTCGCATAATTCGGATGTATGTGTGGACATTATCGTATCCATTATGTATTCACATTATAGTGGATACAATTATAAAGTATATAACCTATATTATTAAAAATACTACTTGTTTGAATAAGTAGTATGACGTCAGTCAGCGCCTGACTACATTTCGACATTGACAGCATGTTTTCAAAAAAACGAAATGCCTGTAAATCGACTTCTTGCTATTCTGCATATATCCCCCCGTACTTGATTATATCAGTACTGTATAAATGTACTTAATTAATATATATAAATTCTGTTATGCCGATATGTGGTATAGACCACGTAGTCGCAAAACAGTCGATCACGGTCGACAGGTCAATCCTGAACATCATCCCGCCCTCGGTTCTTCGGCAAAATCTGCCGTGGGCGACAATATAGTTTTGCTCCCCAGATTTTCTTTGAAAAAGTAGTTCTCACTATGAAGTATATTGTACCTACACCACTGGCATAGAAATTAGTGCGTCTGAATTATATAATCTAATGGAGCTTGCAAACCCTAGTGTGCAAACCCTACAGACTGTTTGCAACCAAGGCAATAAAACTGTTATATACATTTAAATGTGTGTGCAGTATTGTCTCAGGCTAGCCAGCTGACCAAAGTTGGCAACTATATTCATGTAAAATACATATGAAACGAATCTAATGTTTCATGTACAATCCATATTAAATGTATATGTCATTAGTAATGTATGCCCCTTTTGATGTAAAATACATATTAATGTTTTGTCAGTATTCATTTTTATGCATAAATCTTTGAATGAACTTTATTAAGAACATAAGATCATGGACACTGGTTCCACACAACTAGAATGAGTATTTTGAAAAGGAAACATCCATTTTCAGTTGATGCATTCACTTTGTGTTCTGAACATATTCAGTAAATCTCTGCAAATTTGCTGAAGTGTCTAATTAAACCAACTGAATGTGGATAGATCATACATGTCTTTCATTAGAATAGTGTAAAGCTTTAAGAAACAACAAGCAATAAACATGTATTTCCTGCTAAAGCCATATGTAATCATGTATGATAAAATGTAAAATTCATGTATAAGTTTCATATTTTTCCTGTATGCTTTTCCCTTGATTGCTTCTTATATGTCAAGTGTGTTTTGTTTGGGACGAATGTGGCCAAAATTATACAAGAAAAAAAAATGAACTGGACATATAAAAACATCATGCATTGCATATACAAAATCTTGATAGCCTTATATGAACTATACTGTTTTTTTCATATGGGAATTTTGCTGTACTTGCATGGAATTTATGTATGTTACTGTATGTTTCCTGTTTCCGACCTGGTGTTTCAATGACTGACAACTCTGCATAACTTGTTGTGACTAAGGACATTTTCTGGGAAATGAAAGCTTTGAACTTCCTCTTCCTCTTGAACATCACTCAGTGTCAGTGGTTCAATGAGCTGCTTCATCCACATTTTTATCTGAATAAATACCTATTCAGGGAGCTGCGAAATGTTTTTGGAAAATGTTCACGTTCAAAGTGAAGGTGTAAAAATAATTTTAAATACTTTAGTGATCTGGCACATGATGAAACATTTAGTTGCTTTATGTGTTCTGTGAGCTGTGGGGATATGAAATTACATCCTGTCCAAGATGCCCATTTACTTACTGGGATCAGCTCCACTGTGGAAAATAAATGGGTGGATTATTAAATTTATTATATTTTCTGCATTTTACATCACATACTCATACTGTTTCAGAAATGTCCACATGTATTATTTACAACTACTATTGGAATCTTTAAGGGAAGTAGCCTTAGTGCTTTTATTGGTACTCAGGTTTGTTTCATATTCTGGTTGTTTGTCAGTTGGAGCTCAGAAGGCGGCAAATGGGCACAGGGGAAATGACAGATAGGGTGGTTCCATGGGCCATGGCCGCACGGGTAATGTAGGCCTAGGGAGGTGGAACCCATGTTCCATGACTGAAAATAAAAAAAACATAGTTGTCAATATCAAACATTTATTTTTCAACATTTATACATTTCAGTGTTGCACTGTTGGTCCTGGGTGTTTCCTGTGGTATACTGTAGACAACAGACAGAGCTACCAACTAATGACAGATATACTTCAAAAATTTTTATGATTTAGCTTACCATGTACTGAGATATTCCTAGCAGTTCTGAAGCTCTTTTGCAATTGGCTGCCTAATTATTTGCCATTAAAAATAATGGCTTACTGTTAGGGGCTTATAGGTCTGGTGGGAAATTATGTCTGGGTAGGAGTGCAGTGTGAAATACTGAGTCTGGTAAGGCTGTAATGTGACTGTAAACGTGAGTCTCAATAATATTTATAATATTTACTACTTTTATGTTAAATGTGGGAATAATGCTCATAGGTGAACAATACTCAATAATTATATTCATCCACCCATTTTCAAACTATTCATCCTGGCAGATTTGTGGGGCCTGGAGCCTGTCTCAGGCAGCACAAGGCGCAAGGCTGGGGAGCCCCCTGGATGGGATCCTAATCCATTGCAGGGCACAGTCGCATTCACAGTCGCATTCACAGGCGCATTCACAGGCATAAATAGACTCCTTCTACCTAACTGCATGTTTCTGAACTGCGGAATGCTACCAGGGTGCCCTGAGAACACCAGCACAGCACAGGGCGAGCATGCAAACTGCACACACACACGGCGGGGACAGGATTCTAACCCTCAGCACGAGACCTGTCATCATCATCTTTATTTGGTTAAAAATATATGAGTGGCACATTTATTTTAATGAATAACATTTTGGTACAATCATTTCCAAAACATAGTAATATCAGTTTTAATGGTTAAAAAAGACGTCACAGGAATTGATCAAACACTGCATTTCTTGTTTTTTAAACACAAAACAATAATGGCTGGATTGCATTAGCAAGTCATTTTCCCCCATTGGAAAATGGAGACTGACAAAGGGTACTAAAGTAAAAAAAAAAAGCTTCAAACTAAAGTCAGTGACCTAATCAGCATTCAACTGATCAAAGCACATCCCCTTGAATAACTCACAAGTGTGGTCAGTAAATCAATCTTAGAAAAGAATGGAAACAATGTATGATAAGCTAATTAAATTCAATTTATTGTAAAATGCACAATATCCTTAACATCGGAGAAAGTATTAAGAAAATATCAATGCATGCTTTAAAATCACAATAATCAATATAAATAAACAAAAAGATGTGCAAAACCAGGACTGAATCTTTAATGCATGGTTTCTCTCTCCCCTAAATTTAATTCCCTCATGTAAAGGAAATGTTTTCTTTAGGTAAATTTTGTACATAATTAAAATGAATAATTTAATTTCTTTCTAAATTTAATTTCTTTTGTAAAGTGCCATTTAAAACTACTGAAATATCCTTTTGTCTGGAGGGAAAAAAGACAAATATATTTTTTTTCCCTCTGTGCTTTAGACTAGTGTTTGTGAACAGTACATATATGCTCTCTCTCTCTCTCACTCATATTTAAATATATATATATATATATATATATATATACACACATATACATATACATATATATATACATATACACACACACACACACACACACACACACATGGGTCATGCGGTCTACAGTTTTTCCAATGTGTTTCACACTTCAATTCCTAATTACATTTATATGGATAATAAGATTGTGGGGTGTAACTCAACTATTGAAAAGCTGATTGACTCTAGGAAAAGCCCATTTACTTTACAGTATATCCAGTTGGGAAATTTAATTAATCAGTTAAGCTCTGAGACACAGTGCAAATGTGAAGACCCTGTGACCACTGTAGAACAGAATTGGAAACCTTTGATTTTTATGGCAAGACACTTAAGCAAAGTTTATACAAGTATTTTCTCTGCAAATAATTCTGAAACCTTTCCACCAACCCAACGTGAAAAGTATCAAAACTCTAACAATATTTTTAACTTTATATATTTGATCTTTAATATTTAAATATTTCACATAGACTAGCTTTGCCAGATTAATACTTTAGAGCAGACAGCTTGCACATGGGGTTAGAATAGATACAAATTAAAAGTGCTACTTTGTATTTTAGTCATCAATGACAGTTTGTGTTGAGGGTACTAAAATGGAAACTTGCAGAAGTGGAAATAAAAAAATAAAAAAAAATGATTTGACACACAGGATTTGAGTGAGGATCTTCTAGGAAAACAAGATAAGTAAAAATACTCAAGAATCAAAATGTCAAGAAATCCATTTCGAGTCATCTGACTGTCCCACTGATTGCAATGGGACATTGACCTTTCAGATAGTCCCAACTCCCGGGAAAAGAGCTCCCCCTGCTGGTACATCAAAACCATTTCAAGCAGTAACTTGATTCACCCTGCAAGTCTCCCACATGCATGATAGTCATGATGAACCTAGCGTGCTTCAGGTTGGAGTGCACATGTATGACAACACTGAAAGGCTGCTACAGGTAGCTAACATTCCCACTATCAGACAAACAAAAACACCTCCCCCTTGCTTTGCTAGTGTCTCAAGTGTGAATAACCCTTTAAAGATGTACTTTGTTGTTTTTTTTTAAAATTTTATAATAATACAATGATTCTCTCTATGCTAAGTAACAAATGTCACTTTCTAAATTGTCCATTACAATTAATCAAATCAGTGGTACCTTACTTGGTGATTATTTCAATGGATTAGAAAATAAATAAATAAACAAGTATTGTTTATGTTTTTCTACAGGAGGGGTATGTCTGCTATTTTAATGTGTGGGTGCGAAACCTTAGACAGCTTCAGAAAGGTAGCTTGAAGTGGATCAAGAAAATGTGACCATATTATTGACTTGAGTTTATGTATTGATTAATTAATGAAGCACTTTTCAGTAACCACTCATCCAGTTATGGTTGCAGTGAACTGCAGTATATCCTGTAAGATACTGTTGTGTAAGGTATGTCTGCATTGTAGCATATCTGCATTGCACAATGACCAAAGAACAACACAAGAAACATTCAATCTGGCAGAGAGGGATTCAGACCTGTAGCCCAGGTGCAGTGGGGTACTGAGCCATCTGCTGATCTGTTTCTCAGTAACATTACATTAACATATTTAGCAGATGCTTTTGTCCAAAGCAATATACATTTGGGATGGTAGGGTCAGCCAGTCCCTGGATAAATTGAGAGTCAAGGCCTTGTTCAGTGGTATTTGAACCAGTTACCACCCAATCACAGGCAAAGACCATTAACCCACACATCACCCCGCAACTTTTCTGGGCCTTGATCCTATAACATTCAGGTTTTCAGTTTTTGCTATTGACCACTATTCTGTTTGCTGATTCAGCAAGGGGTCCTGCTGTATTAAGGATCTTCACTTACTGAATTGATTCAGTAATAACTCTAGTATTATAACTGGGTAAAATGTTAATAAATAGTGTCATATAATAATTAAATGTTAATTATTGTTGGAAGGAGTTAGTTGGGGCCATGTGTCTGGTATCATTGCTTTACTGTCATAAGGATCACCTTCTAGATCTGGTAACTCATATCATTAAGTTGTTCTACATGTTAGGTTACCTACTCATTTGGCAGCTCTGGTTGAAAAGACCATGCTGTAACACAGCAGATCCTAAACTGAAATATCAACAATCAAATAAATTAAATATCAGCAATCTACTGTCTGCTGAAAATGAATAATGGTGTAGCAAACCTCGACATCTCAGCACCTGTGCTGTCTTGTCACAGCACAGGATAGGTGAAAATCTTTATGTTGAAGTGTCTCTACACTGATGTGGAAGCTATGATGTCAGCGTAGGTCACCATATACAGCGGCAGAATGATTTCCATTTATATAAACAATAAATGTTCGTCTATTATGTAAGAATCATAAAAAGGTAGAAAAAGTAATAGATCTATCTTTATTTGTAAACACTCACTGTATTGATCTCCATCGCATATTACATATGACAATATGCTTTCAAAGTGAAACTGGTTGACTGAGGAGAAACCCCTTTACTTTTCTAACTACTTAAATATTAGACTATTCCACTACAATAAATTAGGTAAAAAAAAAATCTTACTTGAAGAGGGTAGTAGGTGGCCCTGCAATGGGTCACATCACAAGTCAATTACTGTCTTCTGGTTATTAAGTTACCCTTCTTTTTAGCTGCAGTTTTCCCATCTTCTTTATGCCTTATAACTCCCACAAAAGTAGGCTCAGCAGGGTAGAGGAATGATTGTACTCAGCTTCTGTTGGGAGGTTTTTTCCAAACTGGCTAAGCATTAAAAATGTCAGCCAAAATAATGCCCAATGGACCTTTATTATACAATATATCCAGAGAGTTTAACTTCTAGAATACTGCCTTACTTATAACAGCAGGTAATGCAGAGTTCATTATTAAGAATAAATTGTTGCAAATGTATATTTAGTCAAACAGTATAAATAAGTAATGCTAATGCTGGATTATCAACATACTTTCTCTGATAGACTCTGGTGTATTTAGGGACAAGAGACTATGCTTCTATGGTAAATGGCCATTCATAATGCATCTACTGTAAGTGCATTTAACCTGGACATGACACATACCAGAAGTCAATACAGTAAATGGCTGCATCCCACTTTGATTGAAATTCCACCTGCTTGGCTGATTGTTTCACCGGGATATTACAGAGCTGATGGAGTTGTGGGAGGTCCCCCCATTGCAAGTAGGCCCATAGTTGTCCAGGGTGGTCACCTCCAGGTTGACCTTGAACACTGGGGATGACCTTAGCAGAAAATCGGCTGCATCCCTGCGCCCCAGTGCCCTCAGCTTGGCAGTGAGGACGCCAATCGTGCTGCTAGGATGCCTACTCCACTCCTGCAGGAGCAGGGCAGTGGGGCTAGGGTAAGTCACATCTGCTCCAGGAGTATCATTGGCACGGTTGTATTTAGCCACAAGGTCTGACAGGCCCAGGTTCATGGCGAGAAGGCACCAGTCCTTACCCATGGCATCCGGTGGGTCCAAAAGTCGACAGAGCTTCCTCCTTGCCAGAAGGCCAATGTCTGATATGTGAACATCCACACCCAGGTTGGCCTGGTGATAGACCTCTGTGCAGCTGAGGCTGAGGATGCTGCTGAAGCTTTCCTTGTACCCTCCCATGGTGTTGGTGAGGGTGGTCTCCCTCTGTGCCTGGGCCCTGAAGAAGTCCCTTGGCTGGTAGACCATGATGGGCTCATGGTGCTCTCTCAGCTGCTGGGGACTCAAGTAGTGCTTCACTGTCATGAGCCCAGGTAGAGTGGTAGCTAGAAGGTTGTCAGTGAGGTTGCACATCACATCCAGCAGGACATAACATTTTAGCGAGTCCAGTCCACGCACTTGGACCTCGATTCCCTGGCCGTGGTTAACCAGCCGCAGTATGACCTCCACACCCCTGTGTGAGATTTTGGCCCCATTGGTCCACAGACGGATGGAACTTCCTTCTGGTTGCTGCTGATGGATCCAGCGACAGAGGTTGACCTGCAGCTTGTGAAACAGACCACATGGGAAGGGGGTGAGATGCTCTGCGGGCACCACACGCACACCACCATACACAAAAGCTTCCTCATCTTCTTCCTCATCTGTCCAAGAGTGGTGCAGGCCATTGGCCCTGATGAGGGCTGGGATGTCCACCATGGTAGAATTGAGGGGGTCACGCACACACACATCCATGGCATCCAGGATTTGCAGCAACTCGTCCACGTCACGATCTGCCAGCAGGCTCTGAAGCTCCTCTAGGCTGAAGCGCCCCCTGTAGTGGTGGATGGCTTTCGGAGTGTCACTGGACAGAATCTTGGTGAGGACGTTGCTGCAGAGCCACCGCGGGTCCAGCAGCACAATATCCTGGATCATCTCACTCTGCAGAAGGCTCATCTATGTGGGACAGAGGCAGGATTAGTATCACACCTGTTGCTGGGTCTGAGTAAAACCTGAGTAAGGACAGATGCTGGAGAATTGTTTGCAATGAGCTCATAAAATATTCTGGTCTGTTACAAACTGTTCATCATTTCCAACTGCATGGTAAAACTTAATTGTTTTTATATATATTGCTTGAGTGGGCAGCTACTAATCAAGTACAAATCATGAACAAATATAATGACTGAAATGATGAACCATTATGATCTAATGATGATAACTAATGGTTAGTTTTTGGTTAATTATTACATCAAGTAAGAGTGTACTACTACATTATTTTTGCCCCCAAGTAAAATGCTACCATTTTTATTTGACCCAATATAGACAAGCCTACAATACTCAGTAATCTGTGATTCTAGTTAGAGTTTTATGTTAAGATTTTTTTCTTGGGTAAAACGTAAAGAAAATTTGCACAAGAGCATATGTTTCAACATTTTTTGTAAGTGGTGTATTCTGCACTCACTGGCCGGTTTATTACATGCATTTGCTTGTTGATGCAAACACCCTTCTCCTACAAACAGGGAATCACATGGCTACAACTGAATATACACAGCAAGCAGACGGGGTCCAGAGGTTCAGATACGATGAGGATTATAATAGTTAAGATGCATGATCTTAATTATTTTGAATGCGGCATGCAGGTTCCCAGATCTCAGCAGCAGCCGAGCCTCCTGGGATTTTCATACAATACAGTGTGTACAGTTTACAGAGAATGTCGGTTTGCCAGTTCTGCTGCCAAAAGTGTCTTGTTAACGAGAGAGGTCAGAGGGGAATGGGCAGACTCTTAACAGCTGACAGGAAGGCCACAAGTGCAACATTAAAAACTCAGTACAATAGCAGTGTGCAGAATGCCTTCCCTCAGCACATACCTTGTCAGCCCGTTAAGTGTTACTGTAGGAGTGCTACATAAAGAGGCCACAGAGTGTGTATTATGCATGATTTTCAAAGATTGCATATGAACTGTGCTGATTTTATAAGCACCCTGGATTATACAGAAATACATTATTCAAAACTGATGCACAAATAGCTGGAGACTGAAGTGTTTATATTTAAGAGTATTGTTCTGTAATGTGCTAAACACGTTTTACCTGGGTTCATGTTAATTTGTAAAGCTTCAGATAATACTGCAAACCTTCTATGAACATAAGTACAGTAGAACCTTGGACGCCTCTTAACTTGACCAACTCAGACATCGAATGGGTCTGTTGAATTTTTTTCCAAAATCTAGGAACTCGACTGCTTATGCTAAAACTTATACAGGTCTAGGCGCATTCAACTCTACCAATTGGGACCTCGAACAGGTCGGTTGAGAAAAATGTATCCGCAACTCAGCCAAAAACTTGGAACACGACAAAACAAAACAGACCTGCTAAAACTTTTACAGATCGTGATGCATCTCTGATGGGACCCAGAAGCAAACGGACCCACTGCATGGGATGCTGAATGCCTATGAATCGCTTTCAGTGTTGCAGGACCTCTCCACTGAGTCTGAAATGCGAAAGCTGTGTTCCTGTGTTTGGTGTAAAATTTTTGTGCTTTATCTACAGTACATTTACTGACCATGGCCCCTAAGACAGTGAACAGTGATAGCAGTAAACTAAAGAGTAAAAGTGAGAGTAACTGTGGAACTTAAAAAGGAAATTATAGCGAGACTTGAAGGTGCCGCATGTGTGTCTGCTCTCTCTTCGGAGTATGGGATTGGCTTTTAATTAAAATTTTATCGCTTTTGTAATGTGTGATTTTTCATGTGCGTATTAGTTTTATATTGATTGTTAATACGTTTCGTCATTAGTTAGGTAGGCAGATATGTTTAAATAGGCAATCATTTGGAGGTCTGGAACAGATTAAATTCCCATTTACATTATTTCTTATAGGGAAATTTCACTTGGACCTTGACGAAATCGCAACTTGACCGGTCTTCTGGAAGGAATTAAGTTTGTGCTCCAAGGTACCACTGTAGATGATTTTGCTGGCAACAAAATAAGGCTTGAACCATGAGCAAATCTGGGCTGCTTAACAGCAACGGTGTATACATTTGCATTCACACACCTCCCCCATGCTGTGCAGCTGCGAGACCACCTCCCTCAGGGTCTTCTCGCTGGCCAGGGGGTTCATGTGCTCCTGAACATCCGCCACAAACTTGTGCCAGGGCATGAGCTGATTGGGCCGGTGATGCTTTCTCCAGGAGGGCAGGGTTGAAAGAATTTTCTCACACAGTTGTGTCATAGGTGGGCAAGACTGTGGATAGAGACCAAAAGCTGGACTAAAGCATGTGAGACAGACCTTCACTGTGCATTATCCAGTGTGACTGTAAGGTCCTCCTCAGTCCTCAGCTCACAGTCATTTAGCATTCTGTTTGACTGCACTGTCAAATTTGAAAACATTTTGATTATATAAGGAGCAAAAATAATCTTAGCAAAATTAACATTTCAGCCAATTTCAAGAATATAGAAAAGACACCACAGCATAATCTACAGTAAGCCTTTGTTATAATGGATTTAGTGTACTTTAGCAATTGGATTTACAGTAATATACTTGCTGGGTGTTAAATCTCCCACATTTTATTTTACTGAAAGTATATTCAACAACAGTACTTCGTACATTCAGTGTTACCATACTTTACATTAACACTGATCATGTCTATGTGTGTGCTTTGCCCTAAGTTTGCCTGCCTGCATTTACCTATGTGTTTGCTTTGGCTACAAACACACATGTTTTTGTAATATTGGACAGTCCTGCTTGCAGTTATTTTTTAGTTTGAGGAACAATTTGATAGCTTCCATTCCTTTGTTGTCATTTATGCCCCTCCCCTTTACACTTTACACTTAACACTCACAGAGATAATGGAGCCTCTCAGGTCCTGAAGGTGGTTTCTCAGGAGCTTCATCACTTTGGAGCTTGATGCCCCAGCATCCATGACAAAGAGCTTCTCTGAGATTCGTAGATCATTTGCAAACCTTAAAATACATTTAAAATGTAAATTTAATTAAATTTAAAAAGTCCTCAATGACAACATGTGAATTGTTGGTATGTTGTACCCCCCCCCCTCACTGCTGTATATGAATTTTTGTTTGCTATTGTCATAAGGCAGTCAGCCTGCCATACATTACCTGTTCCTGACTTCTTTGAGCAGTGATTTCTCCTTGTCGTAGGCAAATTCCCCTCCGCAGTGATGAGGGAGGTTCACAGTGTCTGCGTGGGTCGCCACCAGCACAACACACAGTGGATGCTTCACCTTTCCACCAAAAGCTGAAAACAAAAAAAGAGCGAAATGCGAGATAGTCACGTTTAATAAAAATGTTAAATCATCATAAGGGGCCCAGAACATAGAGAGGTAAGACACACAAAAGAAAAATACCCTGAAAAGGATCACAGCACAATATCTGAGCAAATTGAACCTAACCACAGTATGATTTTTAGGTGCAGTAGTATCATATATTCATCAGATGCTTTTGTTCAATGTGATATACGGTTTAGGCCCAACCAGCTCCCCTACAGCAACTGGGGTCAATGATCTTACTCAAGAACCCAGCAGCGATATGATTCCCCTGCTGGCCATGATACCTGAACCCGCGATACTCTGAAAAAAGGGACAGATCCCTAATCCAATCAGCTACATGGCATCCCCATGTCATCACATCATCCCAAGCATTTTGCAGGCTATAATTGTCATAAAAACACCCCAGAGAAAAGAGCTGTGTTGTCTTTAATGAAATGGTAGAAGGTATTGATGCAAATATACATCTGGATAAAGATCACTTCAACAATATTTAAGCCTCCAAAAATAACATTGTACAGAGTTCCCTCTGCTGGTCAACATTGGCATTTCACATATGGCTATTTAAAAAGAACCCATAAGCTTAGATCAAGGGTGGGCAATCTTATCCAGAAAGGGCCGTTGTGTATGCGGGTTTTCGCTGCAACTCCCTAATTAGATTACTATTAGAGGACTGATTGGCTGAAGAGTCCTCACATCTGGGTTTGAACAGCTGACCTAAGGGTCATCCCAAACACGTACATACACACCGGCCCTTTGCGGATAAGATAGCCCAACCCAGGCTTAGATCAATCATTCTCCACCCCCAATCGTTCTATGCAAGGGTCCAGAGCCCATCCCATAAACAACAGGCTCAAACCTATAGACAATTTGGCAACTCCAAGCCGCTTGTCACCCTTCAGGGACGCCCCTTTTGATTAAATGTTTTATTTAATTTGACGGAATTCTGAAACACACACACACACACACACACACACACACACACACACACACAAGATGGACCTTCATAAAGTACGTTGACTTCATGCGTGTTCTGGCGGTGACAATTCTGATAAACAGACACAAGATAAACAAGCAGCACTGCAGAGCTCCCTGCAGCAGAGAGATTACACAACGGAGAATCGACTTCAAAGAAGTGACGCTGGCAACCATACGCACTGATGCTGTCTTCCAGCATGGTGAGCGACTTGAGGAGATTCAGCCAGAAGGTGACCTGGTTGAGCTGGGCCTCGTAGGGATCCTCCAGACTGAAGAGCACCAGGTGTACGGCCGTGTGATCGTTAGCAGCAAAGCAGTCATAGGAGCAATAGTACACAGGGTTACCGGAGAATTCCCACACACTGAAGTCTCCCACTCCTGCAAGCCAAGAGCAAGAAAAATATGTATTAGTCTATCAATCCATCTCTTAACTGCCTACCCTGGACAGGGATACAGGGGCATGGAGCCTATCGGAGGCAGCACAAGGCACAAGGCTGGGGGGTACCCTGAATGGGAAGCCAGTCCATCACAGACCTCACACTATGGGAAACTAAGTGCCACCACTTTAATTCGCTTCATGTCTGTAGAATGCAGCAGGATACCAGAGCACCCAGAAAAAACCCACGAGGCAGGAAGCTCCACATACAGAAGGGAAATGTGGGATTCAAACCCACACTCCTGAAAGGCAACAGTGCTACACCAAAAGCCACTATGCCACCCATCGTATTACCATATTTATACATCCATCCCGCTCTCTTCTACACACTTATCTTGGTCAGGGTCATAGGAGGGCCAGGACTCACCAGCCTAATTATCTAATTGCATGTCTTGGGGGAGGAAACCTGTGTGATACAGGGAGGACGCACAAACTCCACAGGGATTCAACCCCCAACCATGAAGTTATGAGTCAATAGTGCTATACACTGAGCCACCCTTGGTATTACCACGTTTACCCTTCCATTTTCCGTAACTGCTCAGTATATATAACAATGGAAGTATGTGAGTATGGCACAGTACACAGGATTGTAATCTCACACCTTCAGGGTTTCTTCCTGTCCTGCTCTGTTATTTTCCTCCTACTTATGTGCAGGGTGGCACTTTCACTAAATGGGTAGCGCTCCAGAGCTGTGGATGCAGAAAGGTGTGCAGTGTTTAAATGGCCTCTTCTCTTTTGAGTTGTTTGATTTAGCTACCCCAGTTTCCTCCAATGGTATATAAGCATACTAACTGCCATTAGTGTAGCTCTGCATGTGAGTGTTCTAGGATCACATCATGGCTGTGACTCGCTGAAACTGATTACGTGAAACAGGTGAGTAGTAAGAAATGTGAAGCTAGAGCCACTTTTAATGTGCTTCAAAATGTTTAATATTAACACCTTACCATTGATGCTGATGTTCTGGATGTCGATGGCTTTGGTAGACTGGTCGACCACTGTAGACTGAGCACTGTGCATGGGAGAGAAGACCGCCAGGACCCCCTTGGCAAGGCTGGGCTCAAACATCATGCTGCGTCGCCGGACGTTCACATTCTCGCACCCGGGATACAGATTGGAGACGCTCATAGACACTGTGAATGGAAATATACCTAGTCATTCATTCAGTTTTACAGCAAACCATACATTTGCTGTATAAATACAGCACTGCAAAATTTTCACTTTGTTACGCTGCAATTCATATGCCTGACCAATGGGTGGCAGAGTTGAGCTACAAAAAAATGTCATATAACAGCTGCATGGCCACAAAATATGATTTCCCTTTAATTTTTGCAGAGGTCTGTTAGATAAAATTTATTTATTTTTTCATAAACAAGTAAGAATTTTAAAGCCATTCCATTTTTTATTTAGCCAAGTGTGACGTGTATGAAAACCTTTACATAAAATATTTGGTGTTTGAGGTATTATTTTGTACAGAGGGGTAGTTTCGGGAGTGTGTCAGATGACAGATGCCATGAGGTAAGCGGGAGAGACATCAATCATGAAAAATGTTCACACCTGTCTGTGAAATGGTATGACTTATATAAAGCTGTCATGAGAAGTATCACCCATGCTCCAAATTCAGACAAAAACCAATAGCAGCCAGGACATCAGCCATATTGGCCTATCAGGCAACAGACAACCAAGGCTGCATGTTTCTGTCACTGAGTGCTGCCTAGATGTTAGCTTCTGCAGGTCTATTTAAGATACGTTACAAGAAATAATAGAGAGGGATTGCATCAGCCTTAGGGGGCGCTGGTGTATTAGGTAACAGTGACAATGAACCACTCCACACCTGTGGGTACAGGAGGTGTCGGGGAGAGCGTGAAGCGCGGGGAGCTGGCGGAGGGCAGGCGGGACCTCTTCCTGCGGAAGAAGCTCCTCAGAATGCCACACTTGAGGGACTCCAGCAGGGTGCTCTTGCCGGCACCAGAGTGGCCGAACACTTTCAGCTTGATGCGAGGCTGTGGCGTCTGCGTGGGCCGCAGTTGGTGCAGGAAGCTCCCCTTGTGGTGATCCTTGGTAACGCAAGTCATGCAAAGGGAGGCAAAACCAGAGGCTTTACTGCTGATTGAGTTTGTCAAGTTAACAGACCTATATCAGCATCAGTAGGGCAGATGTTTCGCAGGACAATGACAAAAAGGAGCCCCTTACTTTCTTGAGCTTTCCCAGGAGACTGATGATTTTGTCATGGAGTCCCGTCCTGGTGAGATCCTCGGCTGATTTCCCATCCTGTCGAGAGAGGCAGACAGCGACTTCACTGGCCAATCTCTAACGGCAAGGATGTTGGTGCAGTGCGGCCATAGGCCGGGTGGAAGCTGCAACAACTTCATTGGATTTATTGACAGAGAAAGTTCAGGGGGTGGGAGCCGCAGTCAGTGGTTGCGCATGAGCTGAGAGTCACGCCGATGAGGTCGGCAGTCGTTTGCTAAGGATGCTGACAGATGCTGACCTTCGAGAGGCATTTCTGGTCCCTTTCTACACCAACAGCGAGGCACCAAAAGCTAGCAAAATATTATAGGGTCACGAGCAGAGTGTAACACAAAACATACATTCTCATATATATACACACACACAGCTCAAAAAAATTAAAGGAAAACTTTTTAATCGGAGTATATTTTTCCTGACTGTATTTTTCACTAGTTTTACATTTGGCTATGGTCAGTGTCACTACTGGTAACATGAGGCAATACCTGGACCCTACAGTGGTTGAACAGGTAGTCCAACTCCTCCAGGATGACGCATCAATATGTGCCATTGTCAGAAGGTTTGCTGTGTCTCCCAGCACAGTCTGAATGGCATGGAGGAGATTCCAGGAGACAAGCAGGTCGTTAACCCATCTGTTGGACAGGTATCTGCTCCTTTGTGCAAGGAGGAACAGGATGAGCACTGCCAGAGCCCTAAATGACCTCCAGCAGGCCACTGGTGTGAATGTCTCTGACCAAACAATCAGAAACAGACTTCATGAAGGTGGCCTGAGAGCCCGACGTCCTCTAGAGGGCCCCGTGTTCACTGCCAGGCACCATGGAGCTCGATGGGCATTTGCCATAGAATACCAGAATTGGCAGATCCGCCACTGGCACCCTGTGCTTTTCACATATGACAGACATGAAAGGGTCTGGAGAAGCTGTGGAGAATGTTATTCTGCCTGTAACATTGTTCAGCATGACCGGTTTAGTGGTGGGTCAGTGATGGTCTGGGGAGGCATAACCATGGAGGGACGCACAGACCTCTACAGGCTAGACAACGGCACCTTGACTGCCATTAGGTATCGGGATGAAATCCATGGACCCATTGTCAGACCCTACGCTGGTGCAGTGGGTCCTGGGTTCCTCCTGGTACGCGACAATGCCCGGCCGCCTGTGGCGAGAGTATGCAGGTAGTTCCTGGAGGATGAAGGAATTGATACCATTGACTGGCCCCCACACTCGCCTGACCTAAATCCAATGGAACACCTCTGGGACATTATGTTTCAGTCCATCCGAAGCCGCCAGGTTGCACCTCAGACTGTCCAGGAGCTCAGTGATGCCCTGGTCCAGATCTGGGAGGAGATCCCCCAGGACATCATCCGTTGTCTCATTAGGAGGATGCCCTGACATTGTCAGGCATGCATACAAGCACATGGGGGCCATACAAACTTCTGAGTACGATTTTGAGTTGCTGAAATGTAAGTCCGGCAAAATGGACTAGCCTGCCGCATAATTTTTTCACTTTGATTTTTGGGGGTGTCTTTGCATTCAGCCCTCTGTAGGTTGATCATTTTCATTTCCATCAAACAATGTGATACCCTTTCCTTCCTAACACATTACCCAGTCCATATCAGTATAGATATCCAGCATGATTTTTTGAGATCTGAAGTGTTTTCAAAGTGTTCCTTTAATTTTTTTGAGCAGTGTATATACTGTATATATACACATACACACGCACACACACAAACACACCACACACACACCATTCTATGAAAAAATGTGCACATTTTCACAATATAGTGCTTGTGAACAAATAATTTCCTGGACTATTCATACATATGAATAAACCTTTATATTAAGGCTATACTACTACTTCTAATATTATGGATTCAAATAGTCTTATTAGATTCTTGCTGTTAGAAGTTCTTGGGTAGTTCCTGCTTTAGTGCTGCTTACATTTGCACCTGGCCATTCATTGGATGCTCTGGCTAGTTGCACCTATGCCTAGTTGAGTCCTTGACAGCACGTATATTTACAATGTGCTATTTGCTTCACTTGCACATTGCTTTTTAAAAAGCATCAGCTAATCATATTACACATGTATGAACATTGTAATAGTAGCTTCTACTCATGTTTAAGATTATATGGGCTAGGGAAGGGGGTCAAACTCCAGTCCTGACGGGCCGGAGCCCTGTGTAGCTCAGTTCTTTCCCTGCTCCACCACAAATGATGCAGCTCAAGAGCTGTGTGGTAATTAGCACAAGGAGCTGAATCAGGTGTGTTAAATGAGGGGAAACCCAAAAATGTGCAGGGCTCCAGCCCTCCAGGACTGGAGTTTGACACCTGTGGGCTAGGGTGAGAATTTACACATTTTTGAGTTTAAATTCAAACCTGATCTTCCATATATGGCACAGCATTTTAACAAAATGCAAAAGATCCAAGGTTCCAGCATGTGTAAGATTCACATTTACTAAGAGGACAAAGAAATTAAACAAATAAATAAGCGTTTGTCCACCAGACAAGCTGTCCTTCAGCTTCCTATTAAATGATGTAAATCAGAGTGACATGACAGAATGTACATTGTAGGTTTTTTCCCCCTTTACTCTTTTTCTGTCTGTCTGTCTTTTTGTCTCTGCCTACTAATGAATGTCAGCTGTTCCTGCACTTCACCTTCTCATATCAGCTCCACTCCTCCCACAGGACCAGGATCTGCCTATCTTCCTCTCTCCCATTCCCTCCTCCTCTCTACTTTTAGTGTTGTCACTTAGCAGGGATCAGAGGACTGTAGAGCGATCTGCCAATGCACAATTAATGTGCTGCAGGCTGAGATTATCTGACAAAGTGTGGAAAAACTGGGTTTTACTGGAAGATAACCCAGATGCCTGTCTTGCATGTCACACCCCAAATAGAGACACAGTAAGTTGTCTTCTTGTGCAGGAAACAAATTAAAGATATTAAAGTTCCACATTCGTGCCAAAATGGATCATTTGAAACATTTGATAATATGTGTCAAAGCAAAATATACATCCAAAGCCTTGCAACACCTCCAGTTTCAATTCATCTTCAGGGAAGACAGTGTGAAGAGCAAACATTTGCCATAAAACTGGACCATGATACTTACATGTTTCTACTAGCCAACCACAAACATTCTTTACGCTTACTGTAGTTGTGTACACTTATGACTAATTCTCATTTCTATTCAGTGTTACATCAGGTCAACTTGACATATTTTTTTATTTTCCAGTCATTAGTGTTGGGATTTTTGCCCACTTAGAGGCTACGTACATCTCAAGGTGAACTGATATCACACCAGTAATGATTATTGACATTACTGTGGACGATGTGGGATTTTAGCTCCACACATTATAACATCAATAAAAACAATCAAGATTTTGAATCAGCCAGAAAGATATGGGAGTAAATGTGCTCTAGATTAAGGATCCAAGACTGTATTGTTGGAATGTGGTGCCATTATCTCAGAAGGAGTTCCTACAGATTACACTGGTTATAGACGGTTCTACCGTTGCTATGACAAAAACCACGTCTAAAGTCAGTGGCGCATTATTACACGGTATTTAAGTGGTGCGTTTTAGAAACATACGGGTGTACGACGCTCATTATAGACACAGGTTATGCCCTCTTGGTGGAGGTACTACTGTTTTTTTATTTTACCTATATACGTTTTATTATGGAGTAGGCCTAAATTTGGTATTTTCACGTAATCAAACCATTTTACACCAAAATTATACACACACACACACACACACACACTACATAAAGAACAAACTGTATCATTAAAAAAATCTTTCGAGTTCGTTATCAGAATTAACCACGTACTCGCGTACTGTAATTGAAAGGGCATTTGGATGCTCAAAATGCGTTTCAGATATTTATATACGTCATTACAATACAGCCCTCAGAAGGCTGCAGCATTCTTTGTGGCATGTGTGATGGATGTCTTGGACATAAATGAGGACACATTAGAGGACATTAGAAGTCGTGATGCTGAACTGCATGTGCTGATGCCAACACAGGAGCGTACACCGGCGGCAGCTCGGGCAATAAGGGATCAGCTGGCAGGAGAGATGAATCGTCCGTAGCCTGGTAAAGAATCCCGGCCACTGATTGTGCACTAGGTGCTAAAGTATTTCATAGCTAAACGTGCATTGGACGCCACCTTTAAAAACTCGGTTGTGACTGGATAAATGTTAGTTGAGTGGAGGGAGAGACTAAAACGTTTCATTATTGCAGGCTACATTTTTATTTAACCGCTAAGTGCAACAAGAAAGAGTGTCCTTGGGAAAGTAAAGACATCACAACAAATACAAAGTGCAGGCAAAATGACGAGAGTTTATTACGGTTGTACAGTATTTAGCATTAACTGGTCACATGTGATGCTGAGGAGTGTTCACTGTGTACGTCTGCGATAATTATTTTTTTTTTGTGATACCACTTTAATTAAATGGCACACTTTGCCCCCTTTACAGCAAAACCCACTTTCCATACTTTCGTTTTGCTTTGTCGCTCCCACAACTCAAGAAATGGATTTACTGCGTACTGATCAGTTGGCAGAACACATGATAGCACAGATAAAGATGGCACGTAATAAGGCAGTATGTAGCGGTACTTTCTTGGTCATTTGTGTAAACGTTCAGCACGACCCTGAAATGCGGTATCTGGCCCGGGGCTAACTGAGTACCGACCGAGTACTGCTTTGTCGCGAAGGCATTCCACACTTTTCGTTTACTTGAGAAACGCGAGCATAATCACTATTAGAGTTGTGACGTTCGCGAACGAACCGATTCTTTTGAACGGCTCATAAACATGAACGATGG